AGAAATTTCTGTCATTTCAATGGAAGAATACACGGGTCAAATCTGGTTTGCATACATCTCTTTAACAGAAAACTATTTAAGACGTTTGACAGGGTACAATAAATCACAGGCGACAACTGAGTGAAACCGTACTATCGAACTGACAAACTGTAACCTCAAAAAGTGCGGTCTTTTAAATACGTAAACACAATGGGGCCAGAACAGAACGTAGTAACGATCACATTGTGTTTTCGAGTACCAATGGCACTCTAAGCGCTATGGAACTAAAAATCGATCGCCATTTCTAGCATAATTTCATTCTGCGACAAGCAGTTATAAATCACTTTAAAATTTCCACTAATATGTAAATTCTCCAGTGGAACCAAATATTGCAACATTCTAATAATTTACAACGCAATGAAAATAATGTCGAAGCGGACAGGTCTTCTGATTGCATGGCTAGCGGCACGAAGGATGGGGAAAATATTCCTTATTTACAATACCTGGCATTTCGACTGAACTGGAATTTGAATTTTGTCAAAAAAGTCATGTATGACAATGACCGACGATCATTCAGTAGGTTCTGTATCAAATAAAAACTTCACTTCTTGTTTTACGTCTTCCAACCAAGTCCAGCTGGTGCTACAACGGTACTCGCATCATGACAGGGTCAACAACCGGAACGTCACCCCCACACTTTTGTCTTCAAAGCTTCTTCCGACTTACATACTGCTTGTGCTATTGATCGTCTGTGCGTTGCCTACGTGGCCAATCGTGGATTAAAATTTAGAACTACATTCATCGTTTAACCGCTGAATGCTTTGATTAATGAATTATAAATGTGACATCAATCGACATAAACATAATCATTTTTACCTCTGCCTGCGTTTTCTTCTAAAAACCTCATTGCTTATGGATTGTCACACGCAGCGGAACTGATCTGAATAGCCATTTGTCCGCGTTTTAATTGAATGGCATAATGCTATGACTTTCGCTACGACAGAAAATGATTCAAGTCACAAAGATGTACTGAGGCACGTTATTCTTTTCTTGCTGCACCGCGAGAAGATTGTTTCAACGCATTAAGAATAATCCATGGTTTCTAAGGATACAATGGAGTACCATCAAATTAAGACATTCTTCATGCGGTTGGGTGAATGGATTAATGCACTGGTGGCTTAGAATAAACTCGTGTAGCGGAAACGCGCCGCGAATAACGCCTTCGTCTGATCAGCCACTGATGCATTTCCCAATGAATCGGTTGATGCTAATTCCTCACTTCAGTCTGATTTTACGAAACGGTGAAACTGCTTACAGTTTGTACTTTTCACCGAGGGCATTTAAAGCCAGATGTGCAGAAAGACTCTAAACTTGATGGTGAAAAAGAGCGTGATGAACAGGAAAACTCAGTCCTTTCTACATTCCTTGATAGCGCCACTTATGGACGTTTGAATTCACTTGTCCTCACCTGAAAATCTTTTATTGCAGAACTATCTGGCAGATGGCAAGGAAGCAGCCTTAGACCAGACAAGGAAGTTCAATCAGAAATTTGGTCTTGCCCGCTTTACGCTCCTATCTCCACCGACTGCGTGAAAAAATATTGTGCATATGAAGAAATGGTGAATGTTACTAGAATCCTACTAGAACGCTGAAGCCTAGAATACTGATCAAGGTCGGCAGAGCAACATGTCGATTGGCGGTTCCGATTCAAGCGCCGAGTAAAGCTTTCTAGTCATACTAGTTACATTTCAAAATGATCTACCTTCCTGCACTTCGGTGTAGCCAGCTGTAATATGAATATACGTAGTGAGACGCTGACCTGAAAACAATGGTAGAACGTCGTGTTTTAAAGAGTTGTCATATGTGAGTGATTTATGGTTGCAACCAATCCAACAGCTGGCTAGATCAAGGGTCACAAATCTCCAATCCGCTCAGTCGATGGGTCAATGCCGAAGAGCAGCAATTGGCTTTTACTCTCAACCGTTTGATACTGGACGCCACTGCCTCGTGCGCTGAATTGCATGAGCCATTCTTAAATCGCAGTGGAACAGTAGGTAATGCTCATTTGTGTGACCTCTTATCCATTTTAATCTTAATTTGAGAAACATCCTTGTCGCCTTCATAATGCAGGCTTGAGTCCATGTCTTTTGCGATGTCGAACAGACTATTTTTCTAAAAGTTAAAATTTGCTCTACTGCACGAATCTACCGAAGACACTGGTTTCCTAAAGGGTTCTATTTTCTCCTTCCCACGTTTACATTTTGACCAGTGACCCATAAACAGCACAAAGTGAAAGGTACGTTACGTATAGCGATGACATGATCTCTATCCCAGTTCTATAGAGAGAAACAGAAGCACCATTATTAGGAAGCAAAATGTTCCAGGTTCATCAACAGCTGTTGAAAATGATCTGAAGATAAACCATGATTCATGTACCATGGTGGTATTAACCGTGAAGAAATTCCTGGTGGATGGGCGTTACCTTCTTGGCGAACAGAGCCGTCCCGATCGCTACAGCGCCTTTATAAAATGTTTAAACATAAGTGTCATTGTTCATGCAACGTCGTAAACTGTTAGAATCGAGCAACTTGCAAGTGATGCGGGAATTACCACAAAGGTAGGGAAGGCATTGCTACTATTTACTAAGATTACATTGAATGCTATGTTCTCATTCATACTGGAGACATCCTTCGTTTTTTATCTACACCAGTATCATCCACATTATCTTATCAGCTAGTCCATGCTATCAAAGAGTTCACTAAGTCATCATGCTGACTTACTCATTATTAAATCAACGAAAGACAACCTCTTATCGAAAGTCGCAAACT